CCACAACGGAGGAGAAAACAGGGAGGCACTCAGCCAAGGAGGTGAGTGGACAATACTGGTAAATTTTCTCCTGTTCAAGAACAGCCACCATAAGCAGAAGACGTGGTCAGACTTCCAAATGTCAGGGTAATGAAGAAGACAGTCTGATGGGACGCTTGCCCCTGGGTGGCAGCTCTGGGTACTGGAGGGTTGGGGGTCAGTCACATGAATTCGGGACTGAGCGGTCTCAGTCAGTGGTTCTCAGACTCCAGAGAGAGCAAAATTGCTTCAGGAGTTTCGACTCAGCTGATCTGAGGTGTGATCCAGGTATGTGCATTTTAAACAAGCACTCAGGTGACCATGATGCAGGTGGACAAAATTTTGAGAAGCACTGTTTTAAGGGGTGGCAGTCACCTCATAGGACAGTTAGTCTTGTCTGGATTTCCCATGCCTTTTGCATCTTTATTCCTCCTCCCCAACCATACACGTGTCTTTCTGTGGTCATGCGTGGTACATGTGTGTTGTGGGGTATGTGGATGTGTGTTTTAGGTGCAGCAGGAGGGAAAAAGAGAGATTGTGAAGTCAAATCAGGCAAATTTAACTGTTAGAACTATGCTTCTCATTGACAGAAGACTCCCTTAGGTGACACCTTCTACCACTAGGTTCCGAACATTGGCTGCCTTGTTTCTGAAACCTCACCACTGAGAACCGCTCAGTGATGAGCATTGTCGGGAGATTGCTTTCTGCGGTTGGGTCAGATGGGTGTGGATTCTGCGGCTCAGTACGGGATACATCCTAGTTAAACTCCTCTCTGGAGGCCGGTCAGGGTCCCAGGGAGTGGAAGCAGGGGTCGGCAGAGTCCAGGGCCTAGCCTGCTGCTGACCTTCGAGAGTTGCAGACGGTGCTGCTGTTTGAGTACTTGGTGGGGCTCCCCAGGAGCGGGCGCAGCGTAGGCCAGCCCGGCTGAGAAGACACGGTGCAGGCTGGGGTATCAGGGAGGGACTGTAGACGTGGGGCGGTGCTGAGCTCCTGCTGATTACTGGTTCCAATCTTGTAGCCACTGTTAGCATAAGAGTGTGTGTGTAAGAGGCAGGACTGTGAGTCACCCGCACTATCTTTCTGGTCCACCGATAATCAACCTACTTCCCCACTAGCTTCTAGCCAGATACCTCTCCACGGCTAGGAGCTGCAAGAAACACGAGGCTCAGACTACTGAAGGGGAACAATGCCATTGACCCTTTGTCTTTCCTTTGTCTGCAAGGCTATTGGGATTTTCAGCATGAAGGAGAATGATGGGGTGGGTCCTCACTCAATTTTACATTCTTCTGGGAGTTTATGTCTTTCTCTGGGAGGCTTTCCACGGTGATCACTTACCATCTTTCCCAAACTTAACAAGCCATGGTCTAGGTCGTCTATACATGTCCTCTCTTGCTTTTGTTTCATCTGATCTTTTCACAACAAATCTACACTGTAATGCTGTAAACCCTGAGGCTGGGCCTGCAGCCTTTCCTGATGTAGCCAGAGCTTCCTCGGAAGTGGGGCATTTCCTCCTTACTCAGTCCTCTGGAAATGACATCCTGAAGGGCTTACATGTTTCTCATTAGTTGCTCCCAAATACCTGGCCCTTCCTGCAACACAGGGTCCCAGCCCGGTTTATCCCTGTGTTTCATGTAAGTTTCCCAGAGCTTCTTCCTGGTTTCTCTTCTACCTCCCTCCCCTCCTTAGCATCACACTCCAGAGGAATTTAAGGTCCTTTCCCATGGATCAATGTTCAACATTTC